AAAAAGTTTCTTAAAAAGATTGTGTCATGTACCATTAAATCTCTGAACTTCTTGAAGGATAGTTTAGGGAATGATTTCCCCATGCTCTTCTGGTATGTAAATAAATCTGGGTATACTGCTGAAAATATTTCTTTTAAGAATATCAAGGAAACTTCCTTGCAGGTCCAGTAACCTAACTTCCAAGAACGGAGATGCCATGACCCAGGGGATTCTGTTTGGGGTCTCTAACACAGGGGTAGAGTCGAGCATATTCACTGGCTAACACTGCTCTCCCTGCACCGACTTCCCACTATGCCTCTTCCCTAGTTGACTACAGGCTAGTCCAACCTGGAGACAGCATCCTGCTAATAAAAGAAAACCTGTCATTTGGAAGAATGCTCCCCTACGCATAACTCATATGATTGTTCTACTTGGCACTTGTCTGACTGTATTTCCAAATTCTGGCACTGACTGCCAGTGGTACTAGAAAGATACACAATACAGAGGAACACTTCTCTAATCTTCGCACCACTGCTGGCCTGGGAATCTTGCCTATAACTTAACCCTACTTCCCCTTAACTATTAAGACATTGAAGCTCTCTGAGGTGCTCAGTCAATGGCAAAAATGCTGCTCTTACAGCTTTTGAGCTTTTCAAGGAACAAGCTGGAACCTCAGTATAAAAATGAGGTTTAGCTGACAAATTGGAGCTGTTGCATAGGTCTTGATTGGCCTGTATGTCGAATTAGGCTGACGTCCTGTCAGCCCAGTGCATCCTTCATGCTCTGGTTCCAAGACCAGGGCCAAGCAGGACCAAGCAGAACCAATGTTGAGTTGAAGAAGTCACCAGTTTGATCACAGCAAGAAAGTTGAAGAAACGGCTCCTGCCATTGTCACAGAGATCTTTAGTGAGGAACACACCCAGGTTTACTGTGCTTCATGTGTACTGTTTTTATAGTGTGTCTGTTTTTAAAATTTATGTAATTTCATTTAACCTCTCAGCAGTGTTGGAGGGTGCTGGTCAAACAGTCCCCTGTCAAAACTCCCCTGACAAGCTGGGCATGGTGGCTCACACTTGTAGTCCCAGCTACTCTGGAGGCTGAGGTGGGAGGACTGCTTGAGCCCAGGAGTTCAAGGCCAGCCTGGACAACATTACAAGACCCCATCTCTAAAATAAAAAAGCAAAACAAAACAAAAAACAACTCCCTTGACAGAAATCCTCTGGACACTTAAAGTAAAAGCCAGCCACAACCATTGTCTTTTGGAGCTCAGGCCAGCCTGGGACTTACATTCCACAGGGACCTCTCTAAGGTCTCTGAACAGAAACCTCGTAGCTTCCCAGCACCTGAGCTCACCGGTCACATCCTGTGAGTGGCTGGACTGTCACTGTGGAGCAGTGGTGGATGTGAGAATTCTGAGCACAGTAACTAGTGGGCACCGACTTGTTTCTCACAAAAGTACCCAGGACGGTCTAATAGAGACAATTGCCAATTTTACTTACCTAGATCCACAAAAAGATGCTTTTCTCCCATGTTGTTCTTCACAACTAAAAACGAAAGCTCAGGACTGCTTTGCTCAGCTGACCCCCACCTCTCCAGTTTCTCTGAATTCAACGGCCAGCTCTCTCCTATATCCTTATCTGTGGACATTTTGTTAAAGGAAATTCCTTGTTCTACTGGTGCTTCAGAAAAATGGGGCGATCCATGACCTGCTGTCTCTCGAAGGCGATTGTCATCCTCACTGGCAATTAAGTGAAGAGCAGGCTGCAAAATCTTTCTCACGAAATTACCTAAGGAAAGAAGATACAATGGTTAATCTGATTCTTTTTTTCCATAAAGCATAAGTTAAGATCTGGGCACAGAACTACAGATGACAATTTTACACACATAGTAAGCCTTCTTTTCTTCATTTCTGAATTTGAAACTGAGTTGTCACCATAAACTATAACATGCCTTTCCTGCTACTTCCATCCTCTTATGTAATCTTTTACTTTTTCAATTCCCACTGACATGGGAGGTTGATGTCAGTTGTAAACAAATCATTTTAGAAGGGAAGGTTAATTTGAGAAGGTGTGTCAACGTTGCCAGTACAGGCCTGAGCCTAATACGCTGTCTCTAAGAAAACACCACTTTTATTAATACAAACTGAGTGGAGTTATCTTCACAATCATTGAGTAAAGAACGGAGGGTTCACATGAGGAAGCTGCTGCTGAGGAACACTGAGAGAATCTCTGCCGGACTCTTCTGAAGTCAAGACGTTGCCAAATTTCTCAGGAGCTTATCCTCTTTCACCTGCCAGGATATGCCCCACAATCTCAGACTTCCACAGCTGGCAGCTCTAACGTGGTAAAGTGGTTGCTTCTCCCGCCTCTCTCGAACTGGTCACGGGATGGGCTATGGCCTTGGAGCTAGACTCCAGAGCTAAAGCAATTCAGTGCCTTTACTGTGCTTCAATGTTTATCCTAAGAACTCTGAATAATAGGGGGTCCTATCTGTACCATGAAAACTCTGTAAGACAATCTGGGACTTCCTTAAACTTACATATATTATTATGCCATGAAATCAAGTAATAATTTGACTATTAACTTGCTTTATTAGGTAGACAGTGAGGGATTTCGGGTCTCCTAGGGATGGAAGTGGGTGCTGTTGTCCCCATCTCAGTCCTGCCCAACCCTAATTCTCCATTCCTGAGGGCAGGAGGGACTACCCTATGAATCTGCCAATCAGAACATGGCGCGCCAGCTGCAACAGAATGCAGAAGACTCTAGCCCATGGGCCAAGCAGCACAGGTACCATAGAGTCTGAAAATTGAACCAGAACAACCTGCATGCATAGTTTAGGCTCAGGTCACATGACTCCCAATTGTCCGATCAAAGTGGTTCCTTTTTGCGCCCTTCCTTCTGCTCTCCCTTTGCTGTGACAGTGGGTCTTGTCGTCATCTGTGGCGTATGTATCATGCTCTGTAAACCTGTATCTTGCTCTTGCCCTATAATCCTATCTTTCTCTCTTCAGTAAACCCCATTTTCATGCTTGCCTTACTAGAACTAGAACTGGTGCATCTGGTCATTCTTCAACCATGGGAGCGCCAAGAACCGACATTTCAGACTAAAACCTGACAGCTTCATGTGTGACAATACTGGAGAAATGCAATACTGTAAGAAAAAATTGATTTTAATCTCTAGAACTATTATAGTCTGGGTTTATTCCTCACTTTAGTCACCAGAAAAGCTTCAACTCTTAAATCATAACTTACCATGCTCTAAATTCAAAATTCTCCTTCTCCAAATTAATTACTTCCTTACTCAAAGAAACAAATCCAATTTCTTACAAAGCACTAAACATCAAAATGAAAGCAAAAGCATTTGATCTTTGCAACGATATGCCTGTATAGACATGATTGCTTCTGGAATGCAGGAGAGAAGGTACACACTGAGTGGAAAGAAATCACAGTACCAAAGGACAACAAAGCAATATAAACTGATAGAGTTAATTTTCCTGGAAACTTAGAATTACATCTATTTGACCCTAGGCAATAAGATAAGGCTGGGTGTGGTGGCTCATGCCTGTAGTCCCAGCACTTTGGGAGGCTAAGGAGGGAGGATCACTTGAGTCCAGGAATTCAGGGCTACAGTGAGCTATGATGATGCCACTGCACTCTAGCCTGGGTGACAGGGTGAGACTCTGTCTTAAAAAAAAAGAAAAGTGAACACATGATTGCAGAAACGGCTGTGAGGGTGGCACTGAGGTGGCCAGTAGGACTTTGAGCCTTGGCAGGGAACTCATTGCCAGGACACGATGACAGTCACCAGCATCAACACTAACACTGGCTCCCAGCAAACTACTCTGCTTCCTACTTCCCTTCTCTCATCACCCCCAGTCCTCATTAAGATGGGGACTATCTTATTAGCTGGAATAACTCAAAAGAACTAATCACAGAAATTTCAGGTAGGATGGCAAACTGGCAGAAGAGTATTTTTAGGTAGATCAAATTCTATGACCTCTAACATGTAATCTACTTCCCCTTTCTCCAAGGCTGACAATGGGCACTGGAAATGCCATGAGGGTACACTGAGGTAGAGGAATTGAAGGGAAAACGTTGCATACGTCTTAATTCTCAGCATATCTGACTCTAGCTGTTCAGAGTTTTAGAGGCAAGCACCTTAACTGACACCCCACTTACCAGGCCTAAGTCTCTTACTTTAGCCACACCAGACTCGCACTGCTCCCCAAACTAGCCACACATTCTTATCACTATACTTTTGCTTCTGTTCTGACAATAAAGAAAGCCTTTCTTTCCTTTGTTTGTATCATGATACCTTATTCAAAGCCCAGGTTGAACATCTTCTGCTAGATATCTTCAGAAGATATCTGCAGCAGAGACTGCTAGATGCCTTGCAAATTTCTATTCTCCCCTTCTTCCCTAGCAACAGCTTCTCAGTTTTTAGCCTGTGCCTAGCAGTCGCAGAGCAGAGTGTGAAGAGTAAATAGGAAGCAAAGAACAGTTTGCTTAGGACTCGGCCTCCATACCCAGACAGCAGTGCCTCCTTACCATCCATGCATTTACTCAGCAAATGTTTACTTAATGCCTACTTGTAATTCTTATTGTTGCAGTTGTTCTAATATTAACATCATTTATAACAATATTACTAGTATGTGCTAAGCTCTGGAAATACAATAGTGAATAAGAAACAGTCCCTGCCCCTAAAGAAACATTAAGTGAAATAGAGGAGATAACAAAGACGACAGGAAATGGCCTCAGGAAGTGGTAAATACTTTGACACAATGAACACTGGAAGCTCTCTGCAACCCAAAGGAACATTCACCTAAATCTTAGGGTTTGGATGTGACAGAAACAGCTTCTCAGATGACTTGATAGCTACACTGACTCCTAACAGACCAGGTGAATCTGGAGGCACATCTGTTTAGGCAGCAGCACCAAAATGTGCAAAGACCCAGGGACCTGAGAAAATGTGGCCACAGTGCAAGCAGGTTAGAAGGGCAGGGTGGTCAGAGATGAGGTGGGAGCACAGGGGACCTTGCCGTGCACCCTAAGACAGCTGTGCTTCTTCCTGAAGGCAATGAATGACCATTGAAGCATTTGAGGCACACAAGCAGTGTCATCAGCTCACTCCTGCTAGCTGACAAAGTAAGTGGGTTGAGAGCCATATTGAGGTTAAAGATGACACTAACATTTCAGCTTGGGTGAGTGGTGATACCACTCACAGATACACACATCACAAGAGAAGGTTTTGGGGAGAACACAAAGAGCTCAGTGTAGCACATGCTGAGTTTGAAGCGTCTGCATGGGGAAATTTGGTAGCCAGTTGGCTGCATGAGTCTGGCATCTAGGACAACAATTTGGGCTGAAGATAAAGATTTGAGAGTCAACAACACATGTGATCATCAAAGCCATGATTGTGGATGATCGTCAAGGGTAAGGATAGAGTGAGAAGAGGGTCAGGGACAGATTCTACAATTACTAATATCTAAGGGATGAGAGAAAGAGAGAGAAGGAACATCTCACTAAGCTAACAGAAAACAGGGAGATAAGAAGGAGCCCTGCGTACCCAGCACACACTAGGTCTCTGTGACCAGTGTTACCCTAACCCAGCAATTAGGTTCTTGACTTTTATGCCAGTCCCTTAGTGACCATGTTTATGCTTTTACCCTAGGTGGCCATGAAACTGTAGACACTTATAGCTCGGATATAGATAATCTGTCACCCAAGCTTCAGTCAATCGTCTGCTGTTTGGACCCAGGAATACTTGTCCTACCCTTTCCTTGATAAACACTCAGGATTTTGGCTTCTATTCAGACTCTGGTTTTTGGTATTCCCATTCTGCCTGGTGTTCTCTTCCGGACTGACTTTGTTTTACACCTCAGCCTTTATCTCTAAACGCCTGGTCCCAGGACAAAATGCTCAGGTTACACTTGCAGGCTTATGCATCTACACCTTCTCCCAATTGTAAAGTTGGGCCTGGAACAATAAACAAGTCTTCCTTAATATGACCTGGGACCCAAGTCCCAAAGCAAGGCTGAAGAAAAGGTCAGAAATCCAGATAAGAGGCGTGATAGATAAGGCTTGAAAAGAAAAGGCCTCTCCCGAATTATCAGAAAACTGAAATGGCTCCTATAGGAGTAGAAACCAATACCAGGACACGCATGGCCATTCCAGGATCTATAATGAAAGATGCTAATGCCAAAGGTGTCTTGAGTAGGTTAATGTACCTGGAACAGAAGGGTAAGTCTAGACCTAAGGGCAAACCCTAAAAACATGAAAAATCACATTTCATTTTTTAGGATAGGTTACCAACCATAAAACTTGATAAGCACTTACAAAATTTTGAGAGGAATAGGAAAATATGAGCTTTTAATACAACTCCATGATTTTTAAAAACAGTGTACTTACCAACATGAATGTTATCTTTGAATGCCACATCATGGAGTTGAAATATTAAATGACAGCTAAATTTTTCATCAGTGCTGGAATCCAAGTTCAAAACATCTTCAGCTGAACAATTAACACTATATAACTCTTGAAGCGCTTTACACACATGCTAAAAACACAAGTTAAATGTAAATAATTTATACTTTTTGCTTTAAAATTTTTCTATGAGCAAAATTCAAAAAGTCTAATGTAAAGAAATAAATTTTGATTCACTATCAGAATTTTTACAATATAACAATCTTAACAATTT